TATGTATGTATTTTAATTACTTTTAATGAAGAATATACATACCAAAAATGTTATTATTTGCAATGATGAATATATTCTAGTATTGTTCTTACTTACATTGAATATATATACCAGTGTATTGTTAATATATGTAATGACGACCATATGTACCAGTGATGTTAATACCTGTGCTCAAGAACATATACCTGTATTGTTCTTACTTATATTTTATGTATATTCAAGTATTGTAATGAACATATATATATATATATATATATATATATATATATATATATAATATATATATATATATATATAATATATATATATATATATATATATATATAATATGTATATAATATATATATATATATATATATATATATATATATATATATATATATATATATATATATATATATAAAACACTGATCTCTGGCTGAAGGAGACTCGAACCTACCTACTTCAGCCAGAGATCAGTGTTTGTGTATATTTCGCCTGCTTTTGCGAATTCCTTGCATTGTTCAAATCTCTAGTAAGGCTGATGCATGCAGGGGATGAGATGAAAAGCTGTAAGCCTTCTCCCTGAAAGCTGGCTGCCTTGGATCAAAGTCTAGCGCAAGCTGGACTCCAAGGTATTGGTCCAGTGTGGGTAGATTGGTAAAGCACTGCGTACCTTGTTCCAAGGTTCGTAGGTTCGAGTTTCCTTCTGCCAGAGATCAGTGTTTGTGTATATTTCGCCTGCTCTTGCGAATTCTAAGCATATATATATATATGCTTATATATATATATATATGCATATATTTTGTAGTTTGCTTACGTGTCTTTCTAAACCATATTTATATATATATATATATATATATATATATATATATATATATATATATATATATATATATATATATATATAAATATATATATATATAGGTCGTGCCGAATAGGCAGAACTTGCGATCTTGCCTTAAATAGCAACGCTCATCTTGCCATATAGGACAAGTAAAAATTTGTGTATGCAATAATTTCGCCAGAATCATTCTGAACCTAACGAAAAAAATATATTTCACTGTGTTTGTTTAGACTGGTTATAAATGACCATAATTTTTAAAGGGGTGGACCGGTAAGCCAGCGGAAGGCCTCGGTCAGATGACCAAAAGCTCCAAAGGCGGGTCATCATCTGACTAAGACCCGCGTCAGGAAACATTTGTCCTGTTTCCTGACGAATCTTACCTAACCTAACCTGTGTTTGTTTAGTATTAAATTACTGTAAGCAAATCTAAAATATATATAGTTGGGTTAGGCTAAAATAAATTGTTCTTGTTAAAATAAGGTTAGGTAAGTTTTCTAAGTTCCTTTTGGTGCAAAATTATAAATTTTTACATCAACATTAATGAAAAATATATATCTTTAAACGTATAAGAGAAAATTTTAGAAAGCACTTAATTTTAAATGAGTTCTTGCTAATTGACCAGTTTTACATATTCGGCACGACATATATATATATAATATATATATATATATAAAATATATATATATATAATATATATATATATATATATATATAATATATATATATATATAATGTATAATCAGCACTATTAGTATCTGCATTGATGAACATTTATCCAAGTATTGCTGTTGTACAGAACATGTATACCAGGATTGTTATTACTTGTACTGAAGAACATATACCAATATTGTTATTTCGTGTAACGAGCATATATACAAGTATTTTTATTGCCTATACACCAGTAATGATATAACTTATAATACTGAACATATATCAGGAATGTTATTACTTTAGCAAGACGCATGTGTAACATTTGGATATCCGTAGGATACGTAAATATTGCACGTGTGTCTTATCAGTCTTCTTGTCGGAATTATGTACCATTGTTTTATTCACACTGATATTAATCGTAATGCTGAACATATTTACCAGCACAGTATTGTTATGACTGGAGGGGAAACACCTGTGAAGAAACTAGATTCATCATTTATGCTCTGTTTAATTGAAAATCAAGAGAAACGTTGAGGAAGGTGAGACATACTTTAATTTTCTGCTGAAAACTCAGTTCCTGCAACAACACATGCAAAAAAAAGGGGAACTGTGTTCCATGCAAGTTGTAAGAACATTGCAAGAATGCTGTTTTTATTAATTTTTTCTTCAGCACTCCACAACACACACACACACACACACACACACACACACACACACACACACACACACACACACACACACACACACACACACACACACACACACACACACACATACACACACACACACACACACACACACACATACACACACACACACACACACACACATACACACATGCGCGCGCGCGCGCGCGCGCGCGTGCACGCAGATAAGGGAGGCTCAGCGACTTTATGTAAGTAAGTAAGTAAGTAAGTAAGTAAGTAAGTAAGTAAGTAAGTAAGTAAGTAAGCTTATTCAGGTATACACAAATACAGTTACATAGAATTTTCATACATAGCAGCATATGTGTAGAGAACCTGGGATAACCCAAGAAAGTCAGACAGAGTGACTTATTTCCATGGGACAGAGCATCAAAAGTCAAGTCTAACCCGAAGCTGTTATATAGCCTCACCAGGAGGAAAACAACAGTCAAGGACCAGGTAATAAGGTTGAGGAAGGAAGGTGAGGAGCTCCCGAGAAACGACCAAGAAGTATGTGAGGAGCTCAACCTGTGATTTAAGAAGTATTTACAGTGGAGACAGATAGGACT